AAACTTGAAACCTATATTTTTATTTATTACAGCTATCAAAGTTAAAGATTGTAGTTGAAGGCAAAAATATTTTGAATTACTATGGCAACTCACTTAATTTAAGCAATGTACATTTGAATTTCCGCATATGAACTCAATCGTTTGTTAAGAAGGTATTCATAAAAAGTAACTTTTACATATAAGGGCATTAAGCAATGGTTAATACTCTTAATTAAACATCAATCAATTTAAGTGAAGTAGAATTTCCCAAAGTCGAACTCCCCTCTCATCACTCACTAATGGACTATTTAAGCGTTTCCTGTTTTTAAGAAAATATAAATTGAAATTTTTCGACAAGAACTTTGGTAATCTTAATGCGAATGGACCGAGTGACCTTTTCCATTCTCAATAACCCTATGCTATTATTTCTCACATTACTTCTTTCGTCCTTTCCGTAACTCCACAACGTATTTCGAGAATATTGACCATATTGTCCCATACACCTCCAACCTTCCTATAAGTATGATGAAAGTATGCATTTATGTCAATCCTGAATGAGATATTTTAGTCCTTCTCATTAGACAGATGGTTTGGTCTATTAGACCTGCATTTTAACGATTTATCTTTCAATTATAACTCCGTTGAGTGAAAAGTGCCTTTCCTTAAGACTTGGGTGGTGTTTAAAAATAGGGGTCCATTAGATTATTTTTTTGCAGTTTGGGCAATTCTTGTAAAAGCGATGAGTATTCCCATTAGCGCTGTTTTATGTTTTTGACGAATTTAAATAGGCTATTTATAGGGACTATTTCCTCAGCAGAACCCACTTTTGCTTAGCTGAAAATAATCCTTTCACGGTCTAGTAATTGCCAAGTGTGATTTCTATCTTGATGGATGAATGAATATTTGATTAAGCTAACAACATTTATAACTTTTGACAGTGACTCGGGATAGTTAGCATTCAACTGGCAATGAGCAAGTTTTCATAGAATATTTCCAGAGCATGTAAATGTTTTGTGGAGACTCCGAACAAAACTTATCAAGCATCTGGTAATATGATGCGGAGAATACGCGTGATAAGACAAGTGACAGGAATGTGGAAGTATGGTTTGCAGTCGTTCTACTTCCACATCATAACCATGTCAGATTACGACCTGATGAAGTTTGTCGCTATTCGCTGATTGATCCGTTGCCTGATCAATTAAATTCGGACCTGTAGAACATGAAATGTATAACTATTGACAGTTGTTTTACTCCCCTTTGATTAGTAACAACTCAATTCGAAGAGTTTACGAGTATTATGGATTAGATCAAGAGACAATTTGGTTGATGCCTTAACCTCTGTCAACTCTCTCTCTGGAATGTTATCAAGTCCAGCACTTTATTATGAGAGTGTGCTGAAAAAATACTATTACATTGGGCTAATTCAGTCTAAATCAATTTGATTCTCTTGTTGAAGAACAAATAGGAGTTAAGAGATAGGCTATGCAGAGGATTTGATATATATAGAAAAATGTATTGGAAATGGTAGTCCATAAAATTAATTTCATGGTTTTAAAAATATTTAACTTTTGAAGAACAAATATGAAATCCATTTGACCATAATATACTGTTTTTTAGAATGATGAATAATTGCTCTAAGTTTTAATAAGTTTTGTTCGAGGTAATTTCAAATAGGAGAAAACAAATAGCCTTCTTTAGACCTTAAGTTAAACACGAAATGTCTATTTTTGTTTAGATTTTCAAAAGTCTCTAATGAATTAAGCACCGCAACAAATTTGAAATTAAATGTGGCTTTGAAAAAAGGATTTGGTTTTAGAAAAAATGTTATTACCACGTGAATTTTTAATGACACTTCAGCCCCACAATAGTTCTTATAATTAATAAGGTTAAAGTAGACACCTTGAAAAATTGAAATGGAAAATAAGTATGTATTAATTTTCTTCCCTTATATAGCTTTGCAGGTAACCACATATTTTAGGAATGATTTGAATTTTCCTCACATTTTTTTGCTTAATTACCTTAATCTCAAAATGGCTAAATATGCACCTATGAGAATTTAATTGCTTTCTAACTATTAGCATTAAGGAAAGCTAACGATCAAAAAATGTCTCACCATGGGAGGCTTCCTACCTTGCAAGGTATAACCTTAATTATACCACCTACAAATTCCCTGTAGGTTTTGCTGATCGTCTAATGCCTAATTTCAACTTGTTTACTGTCTATCCTTGTAGCACCATTAATATATCTCTTTTGAACGCGGTAATGAAATTAGGATGCACTATTGACTTTGACTCCAGTGTAAACTTTAGACAAATCCGTGCTTTGGGATTACCCTCTGGTAGTTAGAAGGAGCTTATTTAGATTGTGGAGCTAAGCAGATTAATAGGGTGACCTTATCAATCACAGAAGTAAATTAATAGTCTAACTGGTTCTTGTTTCGATACCTGCTTAGGTTGATATTCTCCTATTCATATCACGTTTATTTTGAGCATTTTTGATGATGTGCCATGGGTGATATAAATTTAATTCTAAATGAAGGGACATTGAGGCGTCATAAGTATCGACGACATCGTCTCTCAAACGTATTTTTATAGATATATTCTAATTTCGTGAAAATATTTTTTTTAAAATTTAATTTTTTCAATAGTAAGAAATGCAAAACACAAACAACAATGATGACCTTGAGAGTTTGTACATTCATCGTCTTCATCTTTCTCATTAATAAGCATTTTTGGCGCACCTTTCAGCTGTTTGTTTGTATGTCTAATTCATAAATGGTGAATTTTATGGATTTCTGACTTACGAAATGTTGTTATATAAAACTGTATTCTAAACCTATGATATTATTAGATTTGTAAATTGTGGTTTGTAACCAAAGATTGTTGATTATGTCATAATGTTTCCGTTATGCCTTCTATGACTACTAAAGGAGTTTTATAATTGACGCCGGATTATGCCAATCAAAGACGTACAATTTTAGTGCATTTTAAAATTAAGTACAATTTTTAAATAATCAATAGTAAAATTTATAACTTAGGACGATAATAATTTTTTCGATAAAACTACACTATTTTAGCTACAATTTTTCTTCCCTTTAACGTGAATTTCATCTCTGATTTACTTTTAAGTGTAAGCTTATGTTTCAATTTTAGATGAACAAACCCGTGTGATGCTGATGTGTCGAGGCAACGGTTATATTAATGCAAGCCTAATGGTAAGACCGTTGTCTTAATAATGGCCATTACTTCAATTTAGTCGTCATCTATGTAGTATCACCTTTTATTTAAAGCAGTAGGGCTTGACAGTGTTTCAGAAACCCCCTCTAGGTCCCTACCGATGAAAATCAGTTGAAAGTTAGCTTGATCTTTATGTTTGGTTCATTAATAGTTTATGAATTGCAGGTATTCGTGAATCCAAGATACTTTAAAACTAAGAAAATTTGGACTTTCTATTTCTCTAAGTTTATTCTTCAGTGGAGTTAGATCGGACTCAATTTCAGTTTATCTGATCCTCACAAACATGGTAGTAGCATTTACTTAGAAGCAGTTAACAAGCATCTATAAATGATAAGGGTATAAAAGGTTCTGGTTGAAAAGGTAAAACTCTTTATCGTTGCCATAATTGGAGTACCGATATCACTCCATACCAATGTTAGGTTAAGGAATGACATCGTTGCCCGATCAGCCCTATTATGCCATATCGAATTTGAACTTTCATACCGCAAACACTTGATCGAATCATCGATCGACCATAGCCTGAAAAACTTCAATTCCATACATAACAGCAGTTTCCATTCCTACGTTATTTCGATGTTCCTGACTCCAATTACCTCAAAAGTTTCAGTTACGAAGCATTCGAAATCCATGTTGATGCACCCACGTGTGTTTACTTGATCCAAATTTGATTCCATGAGCTGTTGTATGAGCTAACCTAAACTGAATTTAACCAATGCAATAAATAACATCAATAATAATAGTTATTATTGTTAGTTGTCTAATTAAAATATTTCCAATAACTTGAGGTGGGTAATCATTTAAACTTATATGAGTTGATTTTGAAGAAATACTCTTAAATGGATTGAGATGCAAAAATACTTAAAGAGAATGCTTTTTGAAAGGCAAGACTGAGAGGTTTTAAGATTTTGAAGAATACTCAAGCTCGATTCGATAGATCGAAAATACTTGTTCGTTGATTTAAATATTGTATCAAACTCAAATGACTTTTTGTCAGACACAGCTAATTGGCTCTGAAGTTTTCACTCAATAGCACAAAAAATCCATTGAGATTTATTATAGCGTTGCTATGATTCCTCATTACGTAATATTTCTACATGATAGACAGCCTATTCTGTTTTATCTTGATGCCAGGTATTTAGACAAAATTATTTCTTCCTATTTCCGCAAGAATAAGTTAAGCCATGGAAAACTCTGCACCCTTGGATTCGATGAACATTTACATCAGTTATTCAGAGTGGCATTAGTTTCATTTCCTTATTTGAACATATATTACATCGAATGATAGTTTAATCGCGATATTTATCTGAATAAAAATGATTTCGAGGGAGATTTCAATAAATAACTATTTCCTAATTTAAAAGATCGCTTCTATACGTCTATAACCACGAGGACGTGTTTGAGAATGACTTTAGTCGATTTGGGACTTAAATTATTTATATTCGCCGAAAAACGTCTCCAAGCGGTCTCATTTTTGAAAAAAGTTAATTACTTCTTAACAAATGTCAGCCAGGTTTTAAAAATTTTACTTGCCACTGTATAGACAATAGTATCCTCAATATAAAATTTTTTGCGCCACTCTTGGTTTTCGAATATAATTATGTCTTATATATACGACACAGACTCACCATATGGCTCTGTCACAACTTTTGACTTCCGTTTAAGAGTACAAATCACTGTATTTATAAAAAAATTTATTGACGGTCAATAATTAATTGAATAAATATGCCAAAGCTAATACCCAAGTAAAGCAAAATAATAAAAGCTATTTCAAAACAGTGGATAAAGTTAAAGGTCGCCCTTATAGTTCATTGCCCATTCAATTAGCCGAGAGAGATATTGCTCTTCATCATTTTCCGTTTGGAATATTGCTTCCTCAGCTAACTTTAATTTATCATAAGTGGACTTTTCCAAGAATGTTCGTGGTACAGGCGAATTGAAGATTCGGCAGAGTCTACAGTAAAATAACTTCAATATTGAAATCGAACTTACATTGAACGAACGAATTCTTCTCTTTTTGAACTGGTGTACGCCTTGTGCCAGTCCTCATTTTCTCCATCGGAAGATGGTCGTGTAAATGACAGAAGTGCTTCCTTTGCCGGTTTAAGAGTACACGGGCAACTCTCGTTGTCACAATTTTTTGAATGGTAATACTTCTTTGGCGTAAGTATATAAAGAGGCTCACAACATCCAGGTCCGTGTCGGCACTCTTCAAAATGATTTTTTATTTGATTCCAGTCTTCACTATCAGCTCGAATAACTTGAACGTTCTTAGCGCCAAAGGTTTTTAAAAAGTAGGCGTTATCAAGAATTTCCTTGGTACTTGGTAAATTCTTTGTTTCCATTCTGAAATGAAAATTAGCTAGGGTGATTAAATGATCGCACCTGCAACTGTTAATCAGATGAATGATATCTATTCCCAGTAAAGTTTTAAGTGAATTAAATTATGAATCTTCGTTTAACAGGATGAGTGACCATCACAGATTTAAAGAAAATCTACATTTTCTATTTAAAATATGCTATTAATTATGCAAAATATAATTTAATAATGTCAACGATAAAAATTTGCTCCTCTTTAGATTCTTGCTTAAAAACAAACTTTTCATATAGTTAAAAAATAATTATTTGCCAGTTTTAATTATGAGAAGCGTCCGAACATGAAAGAATGTCCCTTTGTTCGTTTTGGAATTAAATGTATTATTTCCCTTAATTTAATCTTTTGTTTATGGAATGAATTCATGCGTGATAAGATCGAAACTTTCACCCCATCGGTTTAATTCAACAGTTGTTCATTTCATCTCAAAAGTAAATTAAAATACTGTAATGCTGTTAGACAAAGATGTACTTAATATTAAGTAAAATAAATAAAAACGGTTCATTATTAATAGAGAAATATTTCATCAATAATATAATATTTAGTAGTCGTAAAATATGTCTGATTTGTGATCACGAACAAATATATATTTTGAAGAAAGGTAAAATGGAAGGTGATATAAATCTGGCAACATGAATGGGAGGGTCAAGTGCGAGCTTGCGATTGGGTGCTCCTTCAAGTTAATTGTGAGCATCATAGTAATATACCTCAAATAGTAGCATGACTAACCCCGATTTTTCTAAAAATCATATGCAGTATGACCACGATCCAAGAAATCCTTCCTACATTGCTGCAGAAACACCACTGCTGAGCACAGTTGGAGACTTCTGGCAAATGGTTTGGGAGCAGTTTGCTGTTGTCATTATCTGCCTGGAACCAGAATCAGCACTTACTCAAGTTATTGAAGATCCATTCAACATTACTGGTCAAGGTGAAAACGACACAATTTCCCAAGCTCGCTACTGGCCACCTGAGGGCTGTATGGTTTTTGGAAAATTCGAGGTAAGCAATTGCTAGTGCTTCTTTGTAGCATTTTACTTGGAATTTCGGCTTTAACGCTGTCTACTATTCTAGAGGTTTGTAAAATTTTGATAGAATTTGGAGAGTTTTTTATTCGAATTCATAACTGAAACAATTAAATATGGTTTTTTTGAAATTTAAGCACTTAGTTAACACATTTCCAACTCCTTTTTTATTCAATTTGATTATTGTTACAACGTGAGTATTCAAGCTATGACTATTTTTTACGTCTTAGCTTTATTTGAACATTATTGCAGTGGTATGGGAGGAGAATTGGCTTAGTGAAGTATAAGACATACTTTCAGTTATTTTTGTGAGCATTTTTCAGTTCAGGCATAGATTGATGATAACTAATTTCTTCAAATTGCAAATACCTCCATAGAGACTGGGTCTGCTAGGGTTGACAATAAGTATATATTTTGACGAATCAGCAAGGCCAATTACTAAATGAACATGAGCTTGCTCTAATTTCTCATATTGAGCAATTCGTTATATTTAGGTTTGCGATTCCAAATTTCTCTGGATTTATTATGTCTACTTTTACTCACTTCACTTCCACTGATACTCTGTCTTGATGTAATCTCGACCTGTATTTTAGCCCTACTTAAACTTTTTATGGTAATTTAATCAATATGAAGTAGGCTGTTTAATGTTTTGCTCACCATGAATTCAAGGGCGGAAAATAAATATTAAATTAAATTTCATGTTTCATTCTGTTTACAAGAGATTTTGGCGTCAAATTGACAGTGAAATGCCAATTTCTTTTTACTTCGTATTGTAACCTAAGTTATCTTTTATCATCAGTTGGAGCCTAAGTGGTTACCTCCCCTTATCGCTATTTAGGTAAAAATTGACGAGCTTCAATATATAATAAAAATTTCCCTTTAACATAATCTCTACAATGTTTGGAAGTCAAATAAGTGCTATATTTTTCTTGGAGTAGGTTTTTCCCCTTACTGTTCCATCATCGTAAAAAAAACAAACATTTGAAAGACAACATCTTTCTTAACTTAAAGGTGTGCTTACAGTCAGCAATGCTGTATGCAATTTGGATTAATCAATCAATATTTTCTTTCAATAAGGCTCCTCAAGTTTCGTCATATTAGGGTCTAAAAAGCTTGCTTGTCATGATACATAAAGCCATGTATCCGATTTTAATGAATGTCAAATTCAGGACCCCTAAGAAAAGATATGTGTAATAGAGGTTAGAAAAAAGTAAACAAGTACATTTAATTGACTTTGAAAGAAATTGTGCGTATTTAAATACCTTAATTGTATTTTGAAATTTATAATAAGATAGAATAATTAGTATAATAAATAACGTATTGTGGTGCACAAATAATTATTCACGTTGCGATAGGAGTCATTTTTTCAAGAGTATGCCTATCTACAAGGTGAGATTATTTTATTTACGTAGCCAACCACTAACTTTATACAAATGGTATTTCTGATAAGATATGTAAATATTTTATTAAATTCCTTACCCAGACATTCTTTTAAAACTTTTATGGTCCTTCTTATAAGTAAGCTTATTATTCACCTTTTACTTCTTCTAAGTTTTCGTGTGAGAGTGAATGAGTCCCGAATTTGGCCTTCCTCGTTATTAGTCTGAATTAACCACAAACGTTGGCCATTGCGTTCCATAGTGGTGGGAATCGAATCCGTGACATGACATGGCAAACGTGCAGTGGGACCAATGCGTTGATTGGTTAGATACAAATTATCCCCTTAAATTATTTGCAAGTTTGCTAACCCGTTACAACGTGAAGCACCAAATTTTACTTAATAATTTAATTAAATAATAACGATTGAATAGATTTACTTTTAACATTTTATTGCGGCTTCTACTCTTTACAAATAATTTAAGTTAATTTAACCAATTTTTAGATATACTAAACTGCTCAAACAGACTAAAATATCAGAAGTACCATCAGATAAAATCTGAAATTTTACACTAACTTATAATAATAATACTGCTGGGTTCTAAAAACTTTTCTTATATATGTATCGCGAATTACAAATTTTGTTAAGCAATTCTTAATTACCAGTCATTTCTTATAATTAAATTGGCTTGTCTTATTTGCTGGCAGCAGGAAACACTTGAGGTCAATTGGCAAACAAGTTCAATCGATTAAATATTTGACATTTTTATTCACGGAAACATTTAATGCTTCTTTTTGTGCCAGTTCGATTTTTTTATCATTACTTTTTTGCTATTGTCTCTTCTTGTTGCTGAAATGTTCTTTAAGTTAAAAATTTTATCGATGTGTCTGAGAATCGTAAAGCATATTTCAATGCTATTGTATGCATCTGTATCTTAATTAAACCTTCCCAAAAATTCGATTGAAGATAGGAATGTCTCAATAACTATTTTAGTCAATAAAAGATCTTGCCTCTTCTCAAGGTGTGCGGGATTTTTTAAAGGCACTTAAAAACAATTTAGTGCGCGCATCTTCCTTTCTATCATCGGCCGACGCCCTAAGGAAATATGGGTCCTACTTAGACGATTATATTTTTCCACCATATTTATATTTTACTGAATCTATATTTGATTCTGTACTCTAAACAATCATTACCAAATTTATTGCCATTTTAATATTACCTTGCTATCATTGTTGCTTGTGGTACACAATATATACTACTCTGTTATTCTATTTATTAATTTAGGATATATTTATTTGTTTCAATGGCACAAATACTTTTAATTTTGATTTCTCTTTTTTGACCATTTAAAGAATTTCTCATACCTGTCGCAAAATATTCACTTCAGATAAGATTTTTGAACTACAACTTTTAATAAGTTGATCTATCATTTCATTGAAATTTCATTGAATTCATTAGTTACTTTCATTAATTAAATTAATGAGTTAATTTCTTCGAATCTGTCTTTTGTGCTGCCTCAGAGAATCTTTCTCTAGTCTGATGTTATTTTACTCATGCTGATATTCGTAGATATAAATTTTTCATCAATCAAAACTATTTAATTGTTCCGTTTCTAATAATTTAACTTCCTTTTACTGCTTTAATTAAAATAATAAGCTTAAAGTTTTTCAATCAACCCTAGTTTTACACTTTGAATTGTGTTTTTTGTCATTTTGAAATAGTGCCTATTCAATAAACGAAGTATATAGAAGTGGTATTCTTTCGATTGGATTTTACTTTTAATTTGTGTAGTTTAGATCAAAATCATTTTAATTCATTAGGTATTTATTTTCAAGTTAAATGTTCATTTTCACTAATAAAAGATTTGCCAATTTTGGATTTTGCGGATATAGAAGAAAAAACTTAACACAATACAAAGGTTAGAATATGCAAATGAATAATGCAGTCAGTCATCGAAATAATTCTGAATGTTGAATGCTAACGAAATTTGACTTGGCTATTGGAGCGGTTCAGTGAACAATGTTGTAATAACTCGTAATCCAAAATTCGCTTCTTTAATTTGCCTCTCACTCAATTTTAGTTCACTATTTCACTTACTTAATCCAAAGCAGAAATTTTTAAAAGTTTATAAAATATTCATATTGATTACAAAATCTAAGGTATCCATATTGTTTGCCCTTTCAAGGAAAAGGAAGAAAATGAGAATAACTTAGAACATTTCTTAGGAATTATTTTTCTCTTGATTTTGAGTTTTTTTAAAAAGCTTAATGGGCTTTTACTTGGACATAAGAAATCTCATTCGATTCTTGTGGCAATGCTATTCCATTGGAAAAATCATTTTTCATCCAGAATGACCTAGTAGGTTTAATAGAATACTCTTAATTTAAGAGAGTTACTATGCCCTATAAGCCTTGCTGTTAAAAGTTCTTTTTAAGCGATGTTAAATTTTTATAAGAGTAGTAAATTTTATTTAAGGGTAATATGATTCTAGATTCCAAAAATAACTGTTATTTAATTATATGCGAACTTTATCGCTAATAATTAAAATTTATCGATGAGTGTTATTGATCGAAATGCTTTGGAGTAATATATTACATGGTATTCAGGTTTTTGTCATTATTCTTATAATTAAACTTTCGAAAAACATTGACTTATTGAACTTTCAAGAAAGATTCAAATAAGATTTGTAATTGTTCACTTTTGTAAAGGCTAAATTTATTAAAGCAAATGCCATTTTGATAATTGCAACTCTTAAATTAAACAAACTTTATAACTAATTTTCCTTATCCGCGTTTTTGAGGAGTTCTCACAAGTTTTTGGTATTTAATTTTAGTCACCTTAATAAATTAATTAGCAAACTAGTGATGAGGCAAGGACTGAAGAAAAGTTTTCTTTTTTTCTCAGTTAATTTAATTTGCCTTTAATTATTTCCACGCCATCTATTATCTCACATTTATTTTACTTAGAGTTGTTATTGAAAAAAATTGAATTAAAATTAGAAAATGATTATTTTACATTTTTTCTTGATTTTAAATGTCGCATATTTGTCATTCAGATATGCTGGACGAAAAATTGAGGGAGTAGTCATCAATGGGTATTGTGATTCACTAGTAAACATCGATTTAACTGTATTTGAAATCCTCAAAACGTTTATGTAATAGATGCAACTTTTGTATTCATATTCTTTAACAACCACTTTATAGGTTCGCTTGGTGTCTGAGCACAAACAATGTAGTGACTACATAACCAGGTCATTCTATCTGAAAGATCGGGATTCCGATGAGACCCGTACGGTGACTCAATTCCATTTCCTCAGTTGGACAGAGGATACGCCATCGTGCGAAGTCAAAACACTGCTAGAATTCAGAAGGTAGGCCAATACTTTTGCTCCGATTTTTTTTCTCCACCCCTACGTTTGGACGCCCTAATTATTCCCAACGGTTTCCTATTGGTTGATTTCATATTGTTTCAAAATCTCTTAGTGGTTGTAACTGCTAATGCGATTCGCCACGCTACAGTTCAATTTTTCCTTTCACTTGGATGCTAAAAATAAGAAGTGAATTCAAATTTTTTTTCGAACTTGGAGTATCTCTAGCTGTGTCTTTAAAATCGATATCTTATTTACTCTAGTCTAAAGTACGGCAGTTACCCAACTTTTAATGGCAAAAGCATATCCAATTGTTAAAATTAAGTAAAGACAAATGTAACTCAGTAATTAATTTTGTTGAATTCTTTATGGTTTCGTAGATGATTTTCAATAGTACTTGTCACTAAGATTGCATTGTTGGTTTGCTTACAGCAAATATATGCGCATCTGTAGCGAACAGCTTTCTTCACATTTTCTAACATCGCGGAGTAACACCCGTTGAGAATAACCTTAGGCTACATCGAAAGCCTTAAAAGCTATTAATCTTGGTCTAAATATAAAGTTTAAATTTATTTAAAACACGAATTAACATATTTTTAATTACTTATCAAATATATCAATTCAATTTTAGGAAAGTTAACAAGTCATTCAGAGCTAAGAACAGTCCGATTATCGTCCATTGCAGGTAAGATTATAGTAAATAATTATATGCACATTCCTAAAATAAAATTGGCTTAATCCAATTCATTGGAAGGATTAATTGTTTTGATTCTACCATGTAAGTAGACCTAAAAGTTCATTTCAGTTGAATGACGAAATTTGGGCAATAGCTTAAAAGACCCATTGTGCTTAAATATATGTACTAATGGAGACTTTTGATGTTATCTTTTTGTGTTTCTCGCAGAATAATGTATTTATTCCGTATAAAAAATGCAAAGATGTGCCACTTATTCAATCGGGATTGAGTACAACTCAAATTTCTTACCACCACATGAAGTTTTAAGTCATTTGAATGGGATAAGTGGTCCTACCGAATCTTCTAAATTAATATTTGCATTCATTCAGTCCAATCTCTATTGTAACAGATTTACGAAAAACGATTCTGCAAAAAAACCTTCCTTATTTCATTTCTTTGACGAGAGGTCTATTTAAATGCAGGAAATTAGTACAATGAGGAGAGAAAGAAAGACCATTTTCTTAAATGGGAATGAGTTTTCAGAAAAATACCTCCAAATAATAAAAGCAACTTGCAACTTCCATCACTTCTCCTTCGATTAACTACTATGCCATTTTTCGTATTTCTCCCTTAAGTGCGCGATAAAGTGTAACTGCTCCCCATAATGTGGTCGCTCCCTATTGTGGGATTCTGCCAACTAACCTCCCTTTAAGAGTTTGGGTATAATCCATTTACTATTGAACTATTTGTGTAAAGCCGCGTATATCCCATGAATGAGGTACCTATTTAATTAGGTATTCATTTAATAACTTTCTAATTTGGTTGCAAGAATTTCACTTAAAATATAATTGCAAATTGGAATACCTATTTGTATTTAATACTAATTAGAGAGTTTGAGGGAAAATGAGGTTCGTTTTTGTGTCGGAATTGGCTTCAAAAAGGGAAATGAAAAAGAAAATTCTTAGAAATGTAAAAAGTCGGCTTGGAAATGTAGCAATAATTTAAAGATCAATCTCAATTTTAAAATTTGAACTTAACTCAAACACAGAATGCAATTATAGATATGAAAAATTTGACGGTTTCGGTCAAACCAAATGTTCTTCTGTGCAAAAAGTTCATAACAGGCAAAATTATCAGTGCTAAATTTTTTACAAATGCAATATTAACTGCTCTAGTGGTGATTAACAGGCAGTTTTTCGTGGGTTTAATTAGCCCACAACCTACTGATAATTCAAAGAACAATATGAATTCATGCAAAAAACATACATCAGGTTATGTAAAATAATGGGATGTGTAAAAATGTTGCCCCGTTTAGTCATGATTTTTAATTAAAACTTTTAGATAGGTACACTATGTCAGGGAGTTTATAAAATTGATTTGCAACTCGAAGTCATGACAAAATGCTGTACTGGACATGCTTCTCATTCGTGTCTAAGTTTGAGTAGTCAGGTGTGTTTCTTTGTTCCCCTCAATGCAGTTTTTTACACAATAAATAATTTATTTCTTCTTAGTTATAAGTAAGGCCATGGAAGATGAAACCAAAATATTGTTTTTAAAATATTAACCTAAAAGAAATACGTTTGTCAAAAGGAAAAGCAGTTGATTGTGCTTCAATCCGAAATTTGGACATGTTCAGACACTTTGTTGGTGATTTTTTCCTTATACTTTTGCTTCCTTTATTTTTACTACTTAAACAAGCCTTTTCCATCTCAAGCTGTCATTCTCATAAATTTGGATAAAATTTAAATAAGAGCTTGCTTTTTTTCTTTTTCAAAAGACTGGAACGTGTCTATGTCTGATATATCGCAATTCGAATGTATATGCGGAAAACATTTTTTTTAATTTAAATCGATAGTAAACTAGTCTATGCATGTAATCATAAGTCATGAAAATCTATTCGGTCAAATATCGTTATCACATCAATGTAAATGTTGAACTAGGACAAAACTTTAGCTAGGTAAGAATCTTCTACATTGGTGTATTGTTAGGAAGTACAATAACCACCCCCCCCCTCCCTCCCCACTGGTGTAAGGAGAAGCATATTGGTGTGCATGATGGTTGACTTTGATTTATCTTGAAGAAACTGCTTATTAGATTCAAATTGCATGATAAAATTGGTTAAATTCCTATCTTAAAATCTTGCGTTTTTCCCCAAATCGGTTAACGAAAAGCATTTGTATACATTAAAGTTTATGCATTTTGTATACTGACTAATTGCTTTAACTAACTTAAGGGATGGATCGAGCAAGACTGGAACCTATCTTTTATTTGATCTGGTTCTCAATCGAATAAGCAAAGGTGTCAAGGAGTTGGATGTGGCAGCTTCTCTTGAGCACCTTCGAGACCAACGACAAGGCATGATAAAAACTAAGGTAATTCCATACTACCTTTTTCATTTTCCATAGCCAAAAATATGCTTTTGGGGTGCGTTTTGTCCTAAGTTATGATTCGAGGTTTATTTTAAAAGCATTGCGTAGATCACTGTCATAAATCAATTGTTTTGATATAATTTGATAAATTTATAAATTTGATCGTTTAATTATTTCATCTAGGGGTTTTTAGGCATTCAGCCTCTGCAGTTTAGCCAAATAGATCAACTATTAACTGTTTTGTCTGGGCAGTTCATTAATCTCTGTGGTTAATCAGTTTATCCGTTTAACTATTATAACATGGTTTGCATAAACCTAGCATATATAAGAGTTTAATATACAGTTCATTTGTCATTTTTTGAAGTAATTTAAGTGAGTTAGGCACTGATGGCATTTGTGTCAGATTTATCAAAACTACTTTCAAAGTAGCAGACTATACGCATGCCTTGATGTTCATGCTTTTCATTGTTTACATAAATTAATAGATATTTTCTTTAATTTCCTTCAAACATAAGGTCAAAGTAATCTTTTCAGCAATATGCAAAGTTGATTGAAAGTTGCGTCATTTGGAGGAATTTAAAACAAAAGTCCCTTCTCGAATTTGCGAAGTTATGAGTGCTAATGTTTGTAGAAATGGGTTCTGTAGATTTTTATCTGGGCAACTGTTTCTTTGTTAATATCAAGTAATTTTAGTGACTGTTCTCTTGACTAGACTATTTCAACTCCCTACCACAGAATAAAGAAAGAGAGCAAAAGTGTATCCGTATTACAGGATCAGGCTTCTAACCAAAACTGCCAATATTTTTTTATGATATTATGAACAAAAGAAACCATTATC